AAAAAAAAAAAAAAAAAAGAAAGAAAAATAAAAAAGAAATGCCATGATTGGTCTTTTGGTTGAAGTAGGGACAGTTTATTTTAGAAAGGACTACTCTACAAAGGTAATTCTGATTTACCATTTCCTAAATCTTTAATGATCAGAATAAGATGAAGAACTCGAGATTCAGGAACCCAGGGTTTTTTGTTTGGTGGTTGGTCAATTGGTTGGTTTTGGTTTTCCTTGATGGCAGCCTATCTGAATACAATGAGAGCCTGTTTCTGATTTCAGATTGCAGAGGGCATGGCCTACATTGAGCGTAAGAACTACATTCACCGCGACCTGCGAGCAGCTAATGTCCTGGTCTCCGAATCACTCATGTGCAAGATTGCAGATTTTGGCCTTGCTAGAGTAATTGAAGACAATGAGTACACAGCAAGGGAAGGTGTGTTCTAGTTCTAGTGACCATCTTCAAGTGCTCTGTTATTGTCTTATTTTTATTTCATTTTTCTTTGTTTTCAATGAAGTAATTACATTTTTTTTAAATCCTGGGTTTGAACTCGGGCTCACACTGGGCTATATCTTCAGCCCCCAACTTTTTTTTTTAACCCAGGCTGTCCTCGAACTTTTGATCTTTCTGCCTTAGCCCTCAAATAGCTATTATTACAATAATGTGCCTTTGCACCCTGTGGTTATCATTTTTTTAAAAAAATTATTTAGTACAATATTCAAATGTACCACAAATATCTGTTAATGGTTCTATTGTAACAAATTTTTTTAAGTACTTTCTTGGGCCAGGGATTTAGCTCAGTGTACCACACCTGCCTAGCAAGTACAAGGTCTTGAGTTTGATCCCCAGTACCAGGAAAAAAAAAAAAAAAGTACTGTCTGATTAACTTCAGGTGATACTTTGATAGGTTTTTAAATGCCATTATTTGCATTTCAATTAAGTAAAGAAAAAGAAAAATAGATTTGACAAGATCAAGATTCTTTATTTATATTACATAGTGAGAACTTTTCACTCAAATGATGAAATGTTATGTATTTTCCTTAATAATAAGAGAAAATATTTGTCCTATGCTGTATATTCTGGACGTTATCATACCCAGAGAACTAAATATAATATTACAAAAATACATTTCTCTATTTGCCCACATTCTATATTGTATGTGCAAACAAAAAGTGTGCAGAGTGCTGGGTGCATTTGTACGTACCCGTAACCTCAGCACTCTGGAAGGTTGAGGAAAAAGAATTGTGAGTTTGAGGGCAGCCTAGGCAACTTAGGAACTTAATGAGATCCTGCCTCAAAATAAAAAGTTGGAAAAGGTCTGGGAATTTAGTTGTCAGGGATCCTTAGGTCAGCGTGGCAAAGTGCAGAAGGCGCAGGCTCCAGGTCAGTCAGTATACCATCCCCTGGCTTCTCTCAGCACCCACGTAACAACGCCTGCCTTTCACTGGCATTTACACTACGCAAAACACATGGAGCGATCCACTTGACCCCTCACCACAACTTGGAGAGGTTCAAGTATTTCCCTACCAAAAAGGCCCAATGACAATAAGAAACTTACCAGGATCACACCAAGTGGAGAATGGCAGAATCAAAATTCAATCCTGGGCCCTGAGGTGCCACAGCCAAAATCCCAGCCCCAGCACTGCATACCCCATATACCCCTAGTCATGGATATGGGAGACTAGTACAGGAATGTGTGACAATGCCCAGAACACAATGGCTACTCTACCAGGCCCTCTGTATTATTTTTACTCCAGTTTTGGTCAGACACAACAAAAAACCTTAAGCAACAGCATAATAAAAGAAGTATTTTAAGTGGTCGGTGTAAACCCCTAGTCTTTTCAAGAGGCTGTTGTAACAGTCTCTGCCCAAGTCCCTGCTTTCCTCAAGAGGACCCTCCATGTTATCCCAGGTCAATAGGTCTGTCCCTGGCCCCTCAAGCTCACTGGCAATTCCTGGAAACGTTATGTTATCACAGTCACATTCCAGGCAGATCATTCTCCTTATCTTAAAACTTTAATATATTTTGTCCTGGCAAGTGAAAAAATGGGAAATTATAGTTTGGAGTATCATCTGAAGTTCCCATTAGGTACAGCTTAGATATATGTATCCACAAAAGCATACACATTAAAAGACATATTTCTATTCCAGCAGAGGATGGAGCTCAGTAATAAAGTGTATGATTAGCCTGTGTGAGGCCCTGAGTTCAATCCCCAACACCAGTCAATCAAGGAGAAATAAAAGATATTTACGTCCCATGTACACATAAAATGGGCTCATTACAGAAAATTTCAACTTTTTTTTCTTTTGATGTGGGATCTCACTATGTTGTCCAGGTTGGCCTTGAACTCCTAGGCTCAAGTGATCCTCCTGCCACAGTGTCCAGAGTAGCTGGGACTACAGACATGCACCATGCCTGGTTCTAGAGAAAATTTGAACACTAAAGATCTGTGCTTTAGGGGCTAATATTGAGGGACAAACATACATTAAGAATAAATGAATAAATTCCTTTATATTCCATATCATGTTCTTTTATGTTTAAAATTGCCTGGTTATAATACTTCCTATCCTGGGAGGGAGATTACACATGAAACTTTGCTTCCAAAGAGGGGAATACCCAAAAAGGAAGAAAAAAAGGAAGAAAACATTTTAGTATAACATTTTATATCATCTCCATTTGGTACTGAGTGTGTTATGTATTCAAAATAAAAATGTTTTAAGTGATTTTAATAAAAAGAGCAAAGCCTCCCACATCTATAACATATTTGTTAAGCTATGATGCCTAAGTGAGAATCACATGTCTTCTTCCTTAGGTGCTAAGTTCCCTATTAAATGGACAGCTCCAGAAGCAATCAATTTTGGATGTTTCACTATCAAGTCTGATGTGTGGTCCTTTGGAATTCTCCTGTATGAAATTGTCACCTATGGAAAGATTCCCTATCCAGGTATTACTTATCTGTTTCCATTCAGATTATATATATACATGTATACACACACACACACACACACACATACACACACACATATATACACATATACACACACATACACAAACATCAAGTTGCAGGAGGCATTAAAAAAAAAGCCTCTTCTATCCAAAAGTAAAGAATTACACTTCAAACCAGAGCTTGATTTTCACTGCCTTTAGTGGAAATTGTGCTACAATATACTTACACATTTCTCTGTTGTCTATTTTATAGAGTGCATGCTCTTCCTTCCCTAACTGATTCCATCATTTACTCGGGGTTCAGAGTGTGTCTGGTACTGTTGTGAGTGCTGAGATAAAACTAGAGTGGACACAGGTGGCTCCCCAAAGTGATATCTCAGTGGAAGAGGAAAGAGATGAGGAAATGGATATTTCCAGGGCCTTCTGGTTAATTTTGGACCAGAGGTTTTGTGTAAGTGCTGTGGAGTCACCCCCTATTCAGGAAATAGCTGTTTTTGCTTATCAGTGAATAATCCTTCTGATCTTTGTCTTATTGGTGTCAGAGTAGCTCCAGATTCTTTACACCTGAAGCCCTCAGAACCAGATCCAGCCTATCCCTCCCTCCTCCAGGGTGTATGCTGTCCTGGTTCAGAAGTGGGTTTCCCTTCAAATCCCTACTTTCTCATTAATATTTGGCTTCTAATGAAATCTTGGGGTGAGATGAATTTAAAATTCTACCTTTGATATTTAAGTCATTATTTCATTCAATAACTTTCTAGCATGTCAAGCACTAGAGATGCAACAGTCTCTGCTCCTGTCCTTGAGAGCTAACGTCCCATGGGCAAAGACTAATGATTATCATAGAGGCGTTCAGTCTGGGGTGCTGGGAGAGTGTGTGAAGTGAAGTATTCATTGAAGTGAGGATGAGGGAGCTGCTGGTTTTATCCAGCAGTCTTAGTATTAGCCAGAACTCAGAGAGATGAGGGAGGGACACTTGTGGCTTTCTGGGGATGGAATACCCCACAGGAGATCAGCCAGGACATGAAGTTGGGCAACAGGGCAGTGTGGTTAGGGCCTCAATGAGTTTTCAATGGATGAATGAATGAATAACTTATCTAGGTCATTTAATCTCCATGGAGGAGAAAGGAGGACAGAGTAGCAAAGAAAGCCATTGACTTGGGGTACCATAATAGCCCAAAAGAGTTAATGGCTACACAAGACCTTTCCATCTCATTCAGCATGAGATGGAGCCAGGTAAGACTTTTTCATTTTTCCCATTTAGTGTCTCACTTTTTCATGCTGAGCCTTTATTCTTCCTCCGAGTTTTCCATCTTATTTCCCTCCTACCCATTGGACCTGGTGCTTCAGGACATGGAGCTTCTCCATTAAGTTTGTTTTAGTGTGTTTTCTGCTGTTATAACAGAATGGCTGAGGCTAGGTAACTTTTAAAGAAAAAGGGGCTATTTGGCTGAGGAGTCCAAGAGTGTGACACCAGCATGTGCTCAGCTTGTCGTGTGGGGCTTGTGCTGCTTCAGTTTGTTGTGGAATCAGCAGAAGGGCAAGTGGTTCATGCAGAAGAGACAGAACTAAAGGGTCAGCCTCACTTTGAAATAAAACTTCCTTTCCTGGTAAGGAGTGTAGTCCCTGGAGAGTGAGAACCCATTCCCATGAGGAAATCATTGGTCTCTCTTAACATCCTAGTCACCTCTTTGCAGTACTACCTCCTAACACTGTCACAATGGTAATCAAATTCCAACATAAATGGGGGGCATATTCACCCCATACCAGTTTCTCCAGAGTTCACCTGGGCACTGCCAAGCAGGCTCTGGATACCATCCTGTCTACACCCATAGGCATCATCCTCCTGTAAGGGGTGCTGGCCATGCCAAAGCAAGTCTTCCATGTATTGTCCCTCACTGTAGGCACTTTGGTTACACCCTCTCCTCAACTCAAACCACCTCTGCCTCTAGTTGCCAGATGACTGCAAGTTTCGCCAAAGGCAAAGTTTAAGTTCCTATCTCTTGTTCTCTTTTTGTTTTGTTTTGTTTTAGGCTTAGCTACAGGGGGACAATGGGAGGGAAGGTAAAAGATTTTCATTTCACTGTCTTAAAACAAGAACTGGGATTCTATCTTCATATGAACTTTATAAAGAAATAAATTAGTTCCTGTGGTTTGAGTTTGTTTTGCTTCTGTTAGAAAGGGGTGTGTGTGTGTGTGTGTGATAATAACAAGATTTGTGAAGCATCATGTCTTTTCTGGCTGTTTCCTACCAGAGATCCAGGATCTTAATGCTATGTATACATCCAGATACAAACTTCATCTTTCTGCACACACCTGCCTCAGCCACAAGCAGTAGTCAGGGGTTAAAAAAAAAAGTAGTTTGCTCTTTTAGAAGGAACATGTGGTCTCCGGATAGTTGATATTTATTCTCACTTGTGTTCTCATATCTCTCTCTCTCTCTCTCTCAGCACACACAGGAACTTTGTGTCTTTAAAGACTTTTGAGGCCTGAGTAGCTGCTGCTGTCTTGTCACTAACCTCCAATTTCCTTTTCTAATCACATTGCACCATATTTTCCTCTTTCCTATAATCCTTTACCAACTTGTAATTTCTGCTAATTTTTGCACACTCCAGATGTCACATTATGTTCCCACCATCTTTCTTTGGTGACTTCCAGGGATAACTCTCTGTCTTGATCATCTCTGCTTCTCTCAGAACCTAGTGCTATCCATGACCCATGGTTATTATCAATAAGTCCTTGTTGAAAGAATGAAGGACGGAACATGAAATTGCTTGGCTTATCACAGATCACCTGCCAGTGGGTGTTTAACCTCGACACAGACAAAGCACCAACTATCAGTGTCAACTGAGGGTTTAATCAAGGTCTCTCTTGGAAAACTTTTTCTTTCTTCTATAAGGCTTGTCATTTAGTGGCTCTTGGTAGTTTGTTCATTCACTTGTGCATAAAAGGACAGACTTAAGATTCTTTTTTTTATAACTCCTCTAATCAAGTAAAATTCTCCAGGCAGGATAGAGCATGCCTAGCCTTCATCTGCATCATTGAGAGAGCTTTCTTCAGAGTTAGAACTAGGTCAAAAAAATCTGCAGTGAGGTTAGGAGACCCAAGAAAACCTATCTTCTGTGGACATATTCTCACATTTTACACAACTGGGGATTCTCCAGAAAGGAAGTGAAAGATATTCCTAACCAGGTTGGCAGGTCTAGTTGCTACTATGTTACCCGACCAGGATCCCAGAACTTACTCAAGGTACATGCTGGGGTAAACAGTTTACCCTTTTAAAATTTACAGAAATTTCAGTTCTGAAATTTATTCAGGTGAGGTTGGCTGGTTATAAGAATCAGCAACCCTGAAGCCGTATCATCTTATAAAAACCCAAACTCCAAACAAAGAAAGGGATGCAAACTTGCTTTCTAGCTTCAGTGAATGAAAATCAAACAAAATCTTCCACTTAGAAAATTTCAGTTACCCAAATATTTGTAAAATGATATTCCAGAAGAAAACGAGAAAAATTAATTCACTCGGTGAACAACTCTCAAAGGATATGAATGATTACAAGGTTTACTTGGATCTTTCCATTTAAAAACTAGAGCTCTTACAACACAGAAACAACCATGTCTTCTTTCAGAACTTTAAATCCAAAAGGGGCTCTAGTCACCGTGTCCTTAAAATGATCTGCTTAAGGGCACAGGGTCTCAAACCTCACTGATCATAACCCATTGTGAGAAGCACACAGAAACCCACTCCATATCTTTTCTATGTAATTTGTTTTAATTCATTTTTTAAAATACTGATAGTGCCCTAAAAATTAATCCCAATTGGGTAGTGACCCATATTTGAAAAACCTTGGTTAGAGAAAAATGTTTAAAGTTTTTGTTTGAATTCCGGTAAAGCCATTTTCCCTGAAGTGATTACCTGTCCTTTAAAATTTTTCCCAGTGATCACTAATGTTGAAATCTATTAGAGCAGAGGTTGGGATATAGGTCAGAGTTAGAGCACTTGTGTAGTATGCCCAAGGCCCTAGGTTCAATCTCCAGCACCACACACACACACATGCATGTGTACACACACACACACACACACACGCACACACACACACACAGAGAAAGGAAGGAAAGAGAAAGAGAAAGAAAGAATGAAAGAAAGGAAGGAAGGAAGGAAGATTCATAGCTATGGAAAGGAAATTACCTGTGATGAATGCCAGGTATTATATAAGATTGTATATGTTTTGCATGAAAATCATCTTTCTACAGAGTGGATGATTTAAACAATAGAAATTTAATTTCATTCATTCTGGAGGTTGGAAGTCTGAGATCAGGGTGATAGTGGAGGTCTGTCTCCTTGGCTTGTGGATGGCCATTTTCACCCTGGGACTTCGAATGGTCTTTGCTCTGTGTGTATCTGTCCTAAATCTCTTCTTCCTGTGACACAAGACATACTGGGTTAAGACCCACCCTCCTGACCTCATTTTAATTTAGTTACCTTTTTAAAAGCTTTATTTCCAAACATAGTCACACTGAGGGACTGGAGGTTATCACTTCAACCTGTAAATTTTGGTAGCACACTCTTCAACCCCTAACAGACACAAGAAAGCGCTCTTCAGGGTGTGAGTAGCCAAAAGCCCCTCACAGTGGTTTCCTCTCTGGTCAAGATCCCAATTAGCATGGTTTTTGTAGGGGCTTTTGGTTTTTGTTGTTTTTTGTTTTTTGTTTTTTTACCTTAGGGAGAACCAATGCAGATGTAATGACTGCACTGTCCCAGGGCTACCGGATGCCCCGCATGGAGAACTGCCCAGATGAGCTCTATGATATCATGAAAATGTGCTGGAAGGAAAAAGCAGAGGAGAGGCCAACATTTGATTACCTGCAGAGTGTCCTGGATGACTTCTACACTGCCACAGAGGGTCAGTATCAGCAACAGCCATAGTGTGCTGGGAGACTTGTCCATCCAACAGAGATGATTGCCTCACTGGAGGAAAAAAGTAGCCATCTAGTTAACTATGTGCTGCACCATCTGCCACATCTGGTTCCTGAAATTAGAGGCTACCTTTCTCAGGAAGAACACCCTGGCCACAGGAAAGTACTCTGTTCTCTTAGACTGATGTCCATCAAAATGCAGCCTGGATTGCACCTCAGCTGATCATCTTGCTTTGTGTGACCAACATCAAAATACAACCTCTTAAGAAAACACACATTCTCTCCAAATATGTACCCACCCTGGCCTAGTGTTCACAACTAAATGTGTCTCGAAGGTTCACAGACTGTTGCCACAAATCTACAATAATAGCCAAATTTAACTCATTTAAAAAGCGAAATAACCAGATGCATAGCGTGACACTGCATTTTCTCTATGCTTTGGCTTACTTTAAAAAGAAGTACTAACCCAACCTGTTAGATTTTACAGGTGAGATCAGCAGCTTCAAATTGCCTTTCTCAGATCGCAGTATTTCTGTTTTAGGGGTTTTATTTACCACCCGTCGAAATCTAAGATGATTAAACATTGTCCTGGAGCAGCTGGTCAGATTCACTGCGCAGGCCACAGCCTAACATGTGCGCCCCCTGCAGGACCATCGTTCCTGGTGCGGGACTGTTGAGTTGCGGCTGGAAGTGGCGCCTGGGCTGCCCTCACCTCCCAGGAATGGAGAGCCTGGGAACTGCTCTGCCTTAAGGAGGAGGAGTATTTGTAACTGTCTAACCTTTTTAATTCCACAATTTCCTAGATAAAGACTTTTTTTACAGTGTCATTAGGAAAAACAGTAAGAGTCTAATCTCTGCCGACCCAGCCTTATACGGCTTTTTCTAAAACAAGCATTTCCTTTTGCTTCAAATGATTTGAACATTATTTTAAGGATCAAATATTAATTTTAAGTATACTCTAAAAAGTAAAAATGCCATATTTGAGGCTATTTTTGTGATTCAGCAATCTTTTCTAAATTGTATGAGATTTGTGTGAGACTATTTATACCCAAGGTATAAAGAAAATAAAATCAGGCGGCTCCTGTGAGTTGCTGTGGTAAGAGTTGAGAGGTTTGGTTGGCTGGGTTTTATATTGTAAGGTTTGAATGGAAACTGCTGTGTCCTATCATTTCACTCTTTTTGTTGTGTGTATACCTAATAATTTTATTTTTATTTTATTTTAATATATGTGGCCCAATAACACCCCAGGCTTTTTTTTTTCGCTTGTGTTTAACATTTCCAACTATTGACAATGTGAAAAAAAATTACCAGTTGGTGGGAAGGGATGAGAAGGATTCCTTTTAGTTCCATGGTATAAATTTGAGAAGTTCTACCTCCATCCTTTGAGTGTTTTGGACTGGAGAACTGAGGAACTGATGACTTTGATACCTGAACATCCCTCAGTGGGGGCCAGATAGGATTTTTAGGTTTTTGTTTTGTTTTGAGACAGTATCTCACTGTGTAGTCCAGGCTGACCTTGAAGTCACTATGTAGACCAGGCTGGCCTCAAGCTCTTGGATCCTCCTGCCTCAGCCTCCTAAGTGCTAGGATTAGAGGTCTGCCCTACCATGTCCAATAGATAAAATTTCTGAAAAAGATTTTGCAGGCACCATCAAAATTTTCTTTTTTATATTTTGTTTACGTTTCAGTTGCCTAATGGAAGGGATCAAATAGTCTACTCTCCCTAATTTTAACTTCTTTTTCCTGTGTGATATTTTTTTTCTTTTTTCTTTTTTTTTTTTTTTTTTGGTACCAGGGATTGAACTCGGGTCCTTGAGCTTGCAAGGCAGGCCACCGAACTGCTGAGCTAAATCCCCAGCCCTCTGTGTGATTTTTCTTAATCTCCTTTCTGAAGTATTCTAAAATTCTCAATTCACAATTGTCATATTCACAAACATAGAATATAATCATCATATAATGTCTGCATAGCTAGTTACTTAATTCACAATGGTACATTTTGTACCCAGTACTATTCACATTTTATTTCAGAACCCAATATGTTACATGGAGAGAAAATGTAAAGAATCCTTAAGGCAAAAAGAACTCTCCAGGAAAACAAAATTTTATATTCACCCCTGCAGGAGACCAGCTTGAAGCCATACTGAGCAGGCTTTAAATATTACTGATTTGGCTTATGGGTTCAGCTGTTGATTAAGATTATGAGTCACTCCAAGGCCTAAGTGTGAATTTCTAATGGACCTTTTGGCTTTTTCCCTATGAGGTCTCAGTGATCGATGAGGTTGTGATGTCTCTGTAGCAAGGAAGCGATTGCATCTAAGGAATTATGGCTCTGTGAAGCCAGTCTCTAAAATCAAACATTAGCTAACATAATGCAGGTGGCTCTTTAGCTATGGCCTGCAAGATCACGCAGGTGCCTTGCTATCTGTGACCTAGTCTTCACAAGCACACATAGTTTTCCAATCCTGGCTCATTAAGTGCATTAGTTCTACCATTCCCTACATCTGACTTAATGCCCCCTTGCTATGTTGTATAATCATAAATACTGATGAATCCAGAGCTCACGGTCTTTGCCAAGACAGAGCTAAGATCAGCAGATTTTTTTTTTTTATGGTTTTTTGAGACAGGGCCTCACTATGTAGTTGAAACTGACCTGGAACTTACTATGTAGCCCAGGCTGGTCTCAAACTCACAGCAATCCTCCTGCCTCAGCCTCCCAAGTGCTGGAATTACAGGTGTGCACCACCATGCCCAGCTAAGATCAGGTGATCTTTAGCCAAAAAAAAATCTAAATCAACTCCTGGCCCCCAAATTAATGAACTATTTTTCCTTCTTGATTCTTTATTCCTTGTTTTTTGCATATTATCTTTTCATCTCCTGCTGTACCTTCGCATGAGGCAACCAGACATCCCCCGGTTACTAGTCAGGCTATCAAGCCAACACCTCCCTTTTTTGCTTCTCTCAATTCAGCTTCCTTTATGCACGTTCCATTTGACTTCTTCCCTTCAGACAAGCACTTGATCCTTTCCTCCACATATCTTCTTCATCAGGAATCATCAGAGAGAAAAGCATACTGCCCAAGCCCTCTTTTAGAAGCAGTGGAAGCTGGTGGCCCTGTCCTGAAATACATACAAGGGTTATAAAAGGTGGGGCTGTCTCTTTACACAGTGGATATATCAAGAGCACTGAAACAATTATAAACTCATTTCTAATTCTGCTTCCAATGGTCACTTTCACTTTATTCTTCCCCTTACTCTCATAAACTACATCCAGGCACAGTAGCTGCTATAAATTTCTCAATGCTGAAACACCAGCCTTTGATACACTCAGTGGAATCAAATGAAATGTTCGTACTGCCGCTGGGCTACCCAGCTCTTCTGATTTTAACTGCCAGGTTCCATAGCCATTTCCTGAACGTCCCTGCTTTGTCAGCTAAAAGCATTTCTCAGGTGAGATCATAACTTCCACCCTCCCTCTTCCTTCATTTTCTCTTTCTGCCTGGTGAAAGGGAGTCTCCATATTTTTACTGTACAAAGTTTGTAGATGAACTGAAACAGCAATTGCTGTTCTTGCTGATGGAAATGATGATTATAACCAATGAAGATGTCTGTACAGCCACCATTGGCTAAGGGTTCTCTTTTGTGCTTTGGCACTTTATAAAAATTAACCTTAATTCACATAACAACCATGGAAGATTTGGAAAATGCTATCAGTATTTCATAGGTCAAAGGTCAGGTGCATTTAAAGCCACAAAAAGAATAAATTGTCTTTGATTCGTGTTTCCTTGTGACATAAAACTAATGAAACATCTTTATCGTCATTGGGCAAGGGTATTACTTACAAAATGCTTTATCGGAGTTCACTTAGGAGAAATCACCATACATAATTTTTTTTTTATGTGAGGACAAAAAGTTGTATGAATTAAGCTTACCATTCACACTTAAAGAAAATTTATAGGGACTACACTTTTGAATAAAATGTTTCAAGAACATTTTTGCTCTATTTCATTAAAGTATGTTAAATGGATACAAATCTGTATCAAAAAGATCTAACTTGATACTTGTATAAGAAGAAAACCCTTCCAATTTAATTTCCTGTGTTCCTATGAATCTATTGAATACTACAGGTAAGAGTGCCAAATATGTCACAGGGTTACCAAGAAGGGCACACTGTAATCTTGAATGTTTACTTTAAATGTAGAAATGGCAGGAACAATCTCTGATTTATCTCCAGGTCAGTGAAAAGACTTTAGAAATAGCCGGGTGTGGTGGTGCACCCCTGTAATCCCAGCACTCGGGAGGCTGAGGCAGGAGGATCACTGTGAGCTCAAAACCAGCCTGGGCTACATAGTGAGTTCTAGGTCATTCTCAACTACATAGGGAGACCCTATCTCAAAAAACCAAAACAAAACAAAACAACAACAACAACAAAAAAGACAGAAATAATCTGGAATGGCCAATGTGCAATCTTAACACAGAACTGCTAAAATCAAAGGTGGCCCCAACTACAATAGCACCAAAAATAGATGTCATGTTACAAACCAAGAAAATTGTCTGTGAATTTTGTTTATTATTAAAGTATGGATGCTAGGTCCTTAATTCTTTATCTGCTTCCTAAGAGTTGCTATGTTTTAAATTTCAATTTTTTAAAAGATTAATGGAATGTATATGGTGAATATTTAGTGTTAAAATCCCAGTGAACACCAAGGAAGTAACTTAATCAAGTAAAACATCTCTGCAGAAAAATACCTGAATATTCCTACATGAGATGAATATAGTCCATAATTAGATTCAGGTTAATCTTTGCCACCAAATGAGTTCTTTAAAAATCTTTTGGTTTTTCCAGTCTTTTGGATTTCAGATTGTGGAAAGGGGGCATAGATCTGTATTCTGAGACTTCTTGACGCATATATAACAACTTTCAGTATCAGTGCTGTATTGGATTCAAATGGACCACATTCAGAGGTGATTACTCAAAACACTGTAGGCAGGATGTAAAATACAAAAAGAAAAGATACAAAATATTTACACTTTCCTTTGAAGCAACAGTCAATTATTAATATAATCTCTGCAAATACTATCTCAGGAGAGGCTGATGAACAGCAGTTCAAGAGAGGGAAAAGCTGGCAGTTTTAGTCAGCCACAAGTTACCTCCGGGAGTCAAGAGAATTAAGCAGTGTGGTCCTGGGTCCCTTGGGAGCTTGACAACATCACATGCAAAATGAGATGCTGTCTTATCACATGGATTTCAAGCCACATGGAGTGTTGTGTTCAGTTCTGAAAAAAATGACTGTGGATCCCCAACCTTAACTGCTTCTCATTTCCAAATAAGGTGATTGGGTCCTGGGAGTTGAATCCACAGCTGACTTGCTGTTAGGAGGTGTGGCCTGGTCAGAAGAGGCCGGTCACCAGGAGCCTGACCGGAGGGGTCCATCTCCCTTTGCTCTCTGTTTCCTGCATGCCATGATGGGAGCAGCTTTCCTCCGGCAAATCTTTCACCATCCCCTTCCTGCCGTGCAGCCAGCCAGCTATACCTCAACCATCTGAATATTGTGAGCCAAAAGAAACCTCTCCCCCTTTAAGCTGTGGGTCTTAAGTATTTTGTGCTTAACTAAAGCTTAAGTAACTAAGCTCTCCAGAGGACTTCTTTCTGTGTCCTTCCATGGTCTACCCTCTCCATTCCTGTTCATATCCTCCCAAATTTCCTCTTCTCATAGACTCAACTGTCATACTGGATTAGGCCTCCTCCTCCTGACCTCATTTTAACTTAATTACCTCTGCCAAGACCTTTATGCACATAGTGAAATATTGGGGTTAAGAATTCATTGGGAATCAAATCTGGGCTAACGTTGACCTTATAGAACTAAAATGAACTCACAGGGCAGAGCATTCTCCTTTGCCTGTACGGTAGATTTCAAAGTTTAGTCACCATCACAGGCCCCATTTGCGGGCAGATTGCTGGTCACGGAAGTATGGGGCTGGGCCTGGCTCTCCTGGGCTGTATCTTCCTGGCTGTCACAAGGCCTGTGAACCTCTGCAAGCCTGGGTTTCCTCAAAAAATACTCTTTCAAGTTTTCAAGCTGTTACCTATCCACTGAGAAAAAGGATCTGAAAGCTCTTGAGAGCAATTCTACATAAATTTGGGGGAAAATTCATTTCATAATTGAAGTATGACTATGGCTGTCAAAGGCCAAGTGTTATCTTGCCAGTGAGCTGGCTAAGGTATGTGGAAACCTAGCTCTGTTTTGCCTTCCAGTCACGGCTGAGGCCTCAATGGTCCACGTGGCTGTGGCACTCAAGGGCAAGATTGCATCATCTGAAGACATCCTGGTTCTTTGAGAACCTAGCAGTAATTAAGAAAAAGAAAAAAGAGAGAGAGAGAGAAAGGTTTCACCTGGAGAGCAGTAAGTTCCTTATCAATTCAACTCATCCCACTTACTATTATAAAATTGCTCTCCTTACAGTCCTCCTCAACATAAGAACCTCATGATTTAGGATCTTCATCAGCGTAAGTTCCTCATTGTCC